ATTTCTCTACATGTCCCGAACCCCTCAACAACCCTTCCGCCCTCTGGAAACAGTTTGGTAATCCGCACCCCCTCCAATTTAAAATACAAATTCTTGATTATATTCACCCCCAAAAAATTGCCCTCAGACATGACATCTCCACTCCCTCCCCCCTTTCCTCCCCCAACATTATCCCCCACGCTTCCACCATATAAGAGCGTTGGTAAACTTACTTTACACCCCCTTTTTTGCCCCCAGGACAAAGTTTTTTGTTCCACAGACCTTATGCCCCCTCATCTTTTTCCCTCATCAATTCTATGATTACCTCATCTTTCTAGCCCCATCCGTAAACAGTCCACCCCAAATATGAATAGTTCACCTCCTCCATTCTTCCCCCAAATTGATATCCAATTTTTCATACCTAATTTTTTGTTATCCTCATAACCTTACTTTTTCCTGTATTCACCTTTTTTTTTCTTTTTTCCCAACCCCCCAAATTTTTATCCCCCAATCTCTGCAATTTTCTTTCAGAATCCCCCAAGGCCCGTGTCATCGCAAAGAGCAGCTGTGACACCTCCCACTTTTGTGGATTTTTTCTTTTAACCCCACGCCTCTTGCCAAGACCCTCGCATTTTTTTCTTTCAACCCATTTATAAAATTTTAAAAACCCCCCGGTGACATCAACCCCCTTGTCTAAGCTACTTTTACTGGAAAAAAATTTCCCTCTTTCCAAATCCTAATTTGAGCCTCAACCCTCTAAAAAAACTTTTTCCCTGTTTTCAGAAAAACCTCCCTTACACCATACACTTGAACATCTGCCACATTGCCCCCCATCCCCCTTCATAGCCTTTTAAAACCCATAAATGCCACAAAGACCTCTTTGCTTATTAAATATGTTCTTTTGTTTCATGAAAACCCCTGGCCCCAACACCCCCTACCTTTCCAAAACCCTCCTTTTTTGGTTTCCTTTCTCCGTCTTTTTTTAAATTTTAATTATAACTCTCCCATCACTTTACCGGGTTACTAAAAGATTATCCCCCTATAATTTTTGCACTCTTTTTTACCCTTTTTTCCTTTTACAAAGGAATATGCATGCTCTTGCCAATCCTAGGTACCTTACCCTTTTCCCCATACTTTTTTAAATAATTGACCAACCACCCAAAAACTTTTTCCCCCCCTGCTTTTAAATTTTATCTTTACCCCATCTTTCCCGGCTCCTTACCCCCTTTCTTTTTACCTCCCACAAATTTCCCCACACTCACAATGGTTTTTTCCTCCCCCTACAAGATGTTTTCCTCCTTCCCCCCCCCTATACCGTAATCACGTTTCCCCTTCTTCATCAACATTAAACAATTCTCAAAATATTCCCCCATTTTCCAAAATACCCTAACTCTCCTTTTTAAAAACTCTCCTTTCCCTTTTTTAATGACAAATCCATTGTTCTCTAGGCTTTCTTAAAATTGTTTATCTCACTCCAAAAACTTTTTTTTTTTTCAAAAATTTGTTGATTCATTCACCCTCTTCATTGCTTCTTTTTTCATTGCTTCACCACTCTCTTAACCTCTCTCTTTTTTTTCCTAATCTTTCCCCCCTTTCATCACTTCACTTTGTAAAACTTTTATATCAACTTTTTCTCCCTTACTACTCTCTTTACACATCTTCCCCAATCCTCCCTTCCTTGCACCCACTTTCCTGTAACCACAAATTTGCGAACACTCTAAAACTACATTTTTTAAAAATACCCCTTTTCCCCCTTTGACCCCCTTTCCATGCTTCATTTGCCCATCTATCCTCAAAGTGTTTATTCTTACCCTAATGCCTCCTCTTTTGTTTTTAAATTACCTCTCTCTTCCCCGTCTTCTATTCTCCCTTTTTTCCATCTACCTTTTACTTCGTGTAGTACAACAGAAAGTGACTGTTTTTCTGTGGCCCCCCTATAAAATGTACATCCTGAAGTTAAATCAACGTCTTTTATTCCTTTAAAAATCCAAAACTACCGTCATTTCGCCCCCCCCCACTCATACTTTATACTTATTTTTCCCCTTTTTTCTTAAAATATGTATTATATAATAAACCCCCTTTTTATACAAAGTTCAATAAAGGGGTCCCATTATATTTTCACCTGGGAAACCCCAAAATTTTTCCTACCCCAACCCCCTCTAAAAGTTTTCCTACTTTAGATTCAGGTCCCTACCCAAATTTCTTCACTTGGTTCAAAGTTCCTATATTCACTTAACTCTCCCCAAAATTTTCTCTTCCCCTGATTTCTTTTGGTGAACTGTTTTTATGACCCCCTTTCCATCCAACCCCCTTTAATCCCCTAATTCTTGAATTTACACATTTTATTCTTTTTCTCCTTCCATAAATATCATTTAAATTTTTTGCTACCCTTCCTTTGCTTAACTCTCCAGATCTCCAATTTAATCCCATTTATTTCCCCCCCCTGAAACTCTCCCACCCCTTCAGTTTGTTTCGCTTAGGGCCAGGGGGAAACCCCCCTTTTTCATTCATAACATCAGCAAAAATCTGTTTCTTGTCTCCGCACTACATCCCCGCCCTTTTTTTGATCCCGGGTTTTTAAGTTTTTCTTCTTTTCTTTTTTTGTAAATGTCTACAGGGAAGGGGTTACTGCCCCTTGCTCCGGGTTTTTTGTCGCCTATAGAACGCATGGTTAGGAGGAAAATTTTTCCCTTTTCCCTGGACAATAGAAAAAAATAAAGAAAACAAGAGCATTTAAAAAAAGGGGAAAAAACCCAGATTAGTAATATTTTCATGTGGTCTGTGAATGTGACCAAAGTGTAAGTAGGAGTAGCAAGATATCCTGTTATCTAGGGGTTTTTGAGAAGAAAAAAAACCCGCAATCCTACCATCAGCAAAACAGTTAAAGGGTTTTTTTTCACAGTATCTGTGAATTTTTATTACACAAAAAATAGAAGTTTTTTTCAATAATGCAGATACTGCATATTGTAAAAATGGTATAAATAATTCAGCGCATTTTTGAAGCTATTTAAACCCCAGTTGACATGTATTGGCTTGTGGCGTGATTTGTTTCTCTTGAAATCGACAAAAGTTAAACTTTTTTTTAGTTTGGCTCAATTTCGGGTATTTTAGTCCCAAAACCCGTCAAAATCATCACTGTTTTTGTAATTTCTTTAAATTTTATCAAATTTAAGCCAAAAAAACGAGAATACAATCTAAATACCAAGAAATACCCCAAAGACGTGTTTTAAACCAAAATCTGTCGGGTTTTTTTTTTTATTTGCACTGGTACTGCAGGGTTTTTTTTACTGTAACACTGGCCACAGACCATTCTTGGCAGTGGGGCCCACCACTTTCCCCACGATACAAAGGCAAAGAATTTTGGGGGTCATATTCAGACGATCTGGCTTGCAAGCCTGATAGGGACCTTGGCCTCGCTAAAGCTTCACTTCAAGGTGAGGGTTGATTCGATTCCAGCATGGGTAGAAAAATTGGGTTTTTTGTTTTTTTTCCCGGTTGTTATTTTACCCATCATTTAAAAAGGGGACCGGAGTTAGCCCAATTGTGTGAATTGCATCCCGGGGCAAGGACCCAATTTTTTCCCAAATGCTCTGCATAACAAGGGGACTTTCTATTTAGTACGTAGTCATTGACATCCCAAAGGCCTTTTACCCGTAATGTATTGTAGTAATAAAAATATTATTAATACAGGACCCCACGGAAAGGGTTAAAAAGAAAACTTTAAATTTTCTTTTGGGTCACCCCTTTTTTGTTGGGGGTATGACCAGGTGTTGAAAAAAAAAAAAGTAGATGAAAAAAGACACATGGCAACGTTTGGTGTTTTATTCTGAAAAGTTTGGCCTAACAGTTGCTTCTTTTCTCAAATACGAAATGACTTGTATAAGAGAAGAGAAGCAGCAGCAAAGTAAAGATGATGTGATTAGGCAAACGCTTAGTAATGTAAAAGAAAATTATTTCTTTTTGGGGACTCTTTTTTTTTACAGTTATAATAGATGAATGCATTTTTTGGGCACATTTAAAAGTCTTTTTTGTACTTTTAAATTGTATTTTCATTAATCCATCAATGTTTTTTTCTTCAAAATTATAAAGGAAAAAGTTATTGCATATAAACATGCAATGTTTTTTTGCTATGGAGGGTGTGTTGGGGGAGGGAAAACATTGTTTTTTGGCCCAGAATTGAAAAAGGTATGAATCTGTGTTTGGCCCCGTCACTGCCTCAAAAACAAATGTTTTTTTTTTTACAATTTTTTTTTTTTTTTTTTTTTTTTTACAGGCATCAAGGAGTTGAAAGAAAAATCATAACATTTTTGTTTTTGGAAATTTGGGTTTTCAGGGTTTTTAGCCCCTCACCACTACCTACATGACTTCCCCCAAATAAATACTCTTCCCTTCCCTTCATTAAAAATTACTTTTTAAGGAATATGAAAACCCTTTTTTTAATTATTTACCCTTTTAGGTGTTTTTAAGGCCTAACTTTAATTTATTTTTTTAAATTTTTTTGGGGCGGAAAATTAAGGTTTTTTTTTCTTTTAAGGGGGAAAAAAACCCTTAAATTTTTGTCCATTTCATTTCAACACCTTCGGGAAGGTTAAAGGGTGAAAACTGGGGTCCCTAATTTAAGAATTTCTTTTATTCAAAATTAAAGCTTTTTTTTTTTTCCTGTAATTAATTAACCAATCTTTTTTATATAAATTTTTTAGAAAGTTTTGTAAAAACAATCCCAACTTTTTCCCTCAAACAACTAGATTTCCAAAACCCTCTGTAAAGACAACGGAATACTAAAAAATTATTAATCTTCAACCAACCTTTCCCCAAAAAAAAAAATCTTAAACTTTTGACTACCCTTAAATCCCGTTTTCAAAAACCTTTTACAACCACAATTCCACCCTTCAAATTTAAATTAGAGACTGTCACACCCGAGGCTTTTCCCCCTTTGTAAATTTTTCAAAAAATCCAAGTTTGGAAATTTTTCATTTAATTTCTTTCATATAAATATTCCCAAAGTAATTTTCCTCTTAAAGGGCACCCATGTTTTCCCCTTACTTTGGCTACTTTTAAAAATCCACCCGGGAACCTCAACAAAATGGACAAACCAGCAGCTAGTCTTCATATGTGTCGAGAATCAATAAAAGAAAAGCTTCATGCCACTCCATTAGTTTTACAATATCCAGTGGGTCAAGGAAAAGAATTTACTGGATTGGTTGACCTTGTGCATATGTGCAAGATGATATGGAGTCAGCAGAGTAGGTCAGAGATGATTCTTCCCTTAACTTTGTATTAATAAATGGGTATAAATGTTTATATCTCAGGAAGGTTTTCATGAAACACTTTAGATATTATCATTATATTAATAATATACAATACCAACAGGTTGAATTAATAAAACACATGTACAACACTTGGGCATGTTTATTGTTGTAATGTTTTGCCTGTGTAGCAGGTTTCTTCAGGCAAATGCAAAGACAACTATAATACTGTAGACAGTGAAAGAAATGGTTAGGTAATTTTGTTATGTTCAGCCTCTCAGCTTTGAAAGGTGTTCAGTCCTTTACCCTCGATTGAATATAATCAGTCCCTTAGTCTCTAAAATATGATCACTTCAATCAAGGCCAAGGTAGTGAACACTTTCTATCAAGGCTGAGAGACAAAGCACCTCAAAATTACGTCTTTGTATTATAAAGTAGGGCCCCGCTTATACGGCAGGTTAAGTTTCAGGCTACCGCTGTAAAGCGGAAATCACCGTAAAGTGGAACACCCTCTTTTCCCCTTATAAATGCATACAAATGCTAGATAACAAATTTACACTAACATATATTAAGTTAGCAATAGAACTAGGCATCAGAAAACAATAAAAAAGTAAAACACATAGTGCACTCATTACTTACCTTAAAATATTTGTAGTCGTAATCTAGGGCGAGACAAGTAGTATTTATTGTAAGAAATCAAGTGTGGTATGTATGGTAGCCAGCCAGGCTACCATACCAGGCCACCCCACCAACACATAACATTCTATTACATTTAAGCATTCCAGAGCGATAAAATGAATATACAGTTCACTCATTACTTACCTTAAAATATTTGTAGTGTTAATGTGGGGTGAGATAAGTAGTATTTATTGTAAGAAATCAAGTGTGGTATGTATGGTAGTCAGCGGGGCTACCATACCAAGCCATTCCACCCACACATACTATTCTATGATATTTAAGCATCCCAGAGCAATAAAATGCATATACAGTTCACTCATTACTTGCCTTAAAATATTTGTAGTCAGGGGTGAGTAAACGACATAAAATGAATAAATGAGAGAGAGAATGAGCACATGAGAGAGGACAGGCGCAGCGTTATGTAAACAAACCAGGTGAACGCAAGTTCTGTAAACAACATGTACACGTCTGGTTTGTGTACAAGTTACATTGTGCACAAGTTGTCTCTACCAACAGACCCCTGGCAGTCTTCAAGCTGGCACTGGACAAGCACCTAAAGTCAGTTCCTGATCAGCCGGGCTATGGCTCGTACGTTGGTTTGCGTGCAGCCAGCAGCAACAGCCTGGTTGATCAGGCTCTGATCCACCAGGAGGCCTGGTCACAGACCGGGCCGCGGGGGCGTTGACCCCCGGAACTCTCTCCAGGTAAACTCCAGGTAAACATTGATACGGTAGAATAAATAAAGAAGAACACTCCCATTCTCATGTAACACCATTTTTAGAAGAAATGACGCTCTGAGTGAAGGCAATGGAAATAAGTTACTCTGTCTGACTTTTTTGGGTTATCCTAGGTTCTCTACACATATGCTGTTATGTATGATAATCAATGTAACTGTATTTGTGTATACCTGAATAAACTTACATACGAAAGGAATAATTTTCTACAGTTACCCCAGTAACACATTTTCTCTGATGTTAGACTAGAGAAAATGTTATTCTTGCTGTCACTCATAAAAGTCTGGCTACCACATCTCATAATAATGTTTATTTATTCTATTGTGGGGTGTATTTATCATCTTTATATGTTATGTATCGTGTTTATTATATAATTTTGAAAAAAATATCATGGATGAATTAATGAAAATGTGTATATTAACGTAATATACGACATTTACTGAGACTCGGTGATTATTATTATTATTTTTTTTTCAACAAACCGGCCATATCCCACTGAGGCAGGGTGGCCCAAAAAGAAAAGCAAAAGTTTCTCTTTTCAGATTTAGTAATTTATACAGGAGAAGAGGTTACTAGCCCCTTGCTCCCGGCATTTTAGTCACCTCTTACAACACACATGGCTTACGGAGGAAGAATTCTGTTCCATTTCCCCATGGAGATAAGAGGAAATAAACAAGAACTAGAAAGAAAATAACAGAAAACCCAGAGGGGTGTGTATATATATGCTTGTACATGTATGTGTAGTGTGATTTAAGTGTAAGTAGAAGTAGCAAGACGTACCTGAAATCTTGCATGTTTATGAGACAGAAAAAAGGACACCAGCAATCCTACCATCCTGTAAAACAATTACAGGCTTTCGTTTTACACTCACTTGGCAGGACGGTAGTACCTCCCTGGGTTACCTGGAGGTTACCTGGAGGTTATTCCGGGGATCAACTCCCCCGCGGCCCGGTCCATGACCAGGCCTCCCGATGGATCAGGGCCTGATCAACTAGGCTGTTACTGCTGGCCGCACGCAGTCCAACGTACGAGCCACAGCCTGGCTGATCCGGCACTGGGTGGTTGCTGTCTACCAACCTACTACCTAGGTATTATTATTATTATCAGTTCTAATGTGGTGTCACTTGTACAAGTCGTCTGCTACAACATCTCATATTTATTCTACTGTGGGGTGTATTTATCATCTTTGTATGTTATGCATCGTGTTTAATATATATTTTTGAAAATATATCATAGATGGATTAATGAAATGTATATTAATGTAATACAGTGGTCCCTCGTTTTTCGTAATTAATTCGTTCCTGGAGGAGCTACTGTAAATGAAATTTACGATTTGCGAATCAATTTTCCCCATAAGAAATAATGTAAATACAATTAATTCGTTCCTGACACCCAGAAGTATTAAAACAAAAAAAATTTTTACATGAATTATACATGTAGTACATAAACAATACAATGGGAAATGATGAATGAAACATTAACAGCATAACACTTACCTTTATTGGAGATTCTTCTTAGTGTATGGGAGACTGGAGGAGGAGAAGAGAGAGTGGATTGTTTATAGTTTGGAAGGGGAATCCCCTTCCAGCAACACCTCAGGTACCAATTGCTTTTCTGGGGTTGCTTCTCTTCTCTTTTTCTTAATGCCACTAGGACCACCTTGAGAGTCACTGGAGTCCTGTCTCACATTTTCTAACACTGCGGCTCGCTGTGTTTCGTATCACAGTTGCACCTTTTGCAGAACAGCTTCCTTGATTGCACGTTTTTCTTGCTCACTATAGTAGAGATGGTTGATTGGGGTTTCTATTCAAACTGACCAGCTCCGACACACACACTTCCACTTCCGTACTTTGCAATTATCTTTTCTTCCATTTCAACAGTTCATTAGCACTTGGTCTCGAAGGGTTGGGCACTGGGGAGCTTTCTTGGGGCCATGGTGACTTATTTTGCAAAAACAGGCACGAAACCGTGATATATGGATAAATATGGAATTGTACGAATGTATCCTTAGATGCGCAACACACTGGGCTGGCGTGTAAACGCTGGGCACACACGGGGCAGTTCAGGCCACACATGGACACGTCTCGTACGAACCACATCGCATACGGGTTTTGTATCGGGAAGAAGGAAGGCAAATTTTTGCGATCTATGCATCAGTTACGGATTGATCGGATACGATAGCATCGCGAACCGGGGGTCCACTGTATATATACGTCCGAAACACTGGCTTGTAAGACGTATATATACGGACCAAAACAGTTCAAAGGGATAATTATAGTATGACTATTCATTTTTTTTATATCTGCATATAAAAATTACACACTGTTAGTGATTGAGTGATATTGAATGTGCTTATTTTTTTTTTGATAACCCTGCCTAACTGGGAGACCGTCATTGAGGTAAAAGTGTGTACTCGCCTAATTGTTCCAATGATTGTAGTTGCAGGGGGCGAGCTCAGCTCTGGCCCTGCCTCTTCACTGTACGCTACTAGGTCTCTCTCTCCGTGCTCCATTGAGCTATATCTACCTCGTCTTAAAGCTAGGTATGCGTTCCTGCTTCCACTACCTCACTGCTAGTTATTCCACTTCCTGACAACTCTGACTAAAGAATACTTCCAAACATCCCTTGACTCATGCGAGTCTTCAGCTTCCATTGTGACCCCATGTTTCAGTGTCCTCTCTCTGGAACATCCTGTCTCTGTCCACCTTATCTATTCCATGCAGTATTTTGTATGTTGTTATCATGTGTGTGTGTGTACACTCACCTAATTGTGTACATGTGTGTGTGTATATAGGTAATTTACTTACAGTTATAATTTTGTAAACAAATTTCTCTCCCAAGACTGCAGTTCCTGTTCTCATGGGAGGCTCTTTTACAGATTACTGGGGTCCAGCCATTTATGTATGCGGTGATCAGTTACCTGCCATCCCCTCAGGAACGCCAGCTTGAGACTGTTGCATTATATGCCCCTCACCTCTGTGCTATGGCATTTAAGATTGTCCATGACAAACAGTTTGGTGGCATATTAACTTTTGTTCGAATATACTCTGGGCATTTGGAGAAGGTATGAAATATATTTTGTTAATGTGCTTAAAATACAAAACTGGACATAAAACAGTGCATTCATATATTCTGTCTTTATGGATAGAGTGAATGTTGATGAAAGTGTTTCATTTTTGGGTCACCCTACCTCAGTGGGAGATGACCAGTGTTAAAAGGGAAATAATAATAATCACAATCATTCCATCATTTTTCATACATAAGGGCTTTTGCTGGCAACCATAACCAGCTAATAAACTGTTTTTAATGGGAAAAGCTCTCTAAAAAAAAAAGTCATTGTTTTTTTGTTCTTTGCAATGATTAGTATTCCACATATTGAAATATTGATGTTGTTATCAAGTAGTATTGTTTTCAAGTTTAAATATATTAGTAAAACAGATAATTTCAGGGTCAGAGGCTGTATAATATAAATGCGAACAGCCAGAGCAAGTGGGAGAGTTATTGATTGTTATGCTGACACCTTCAGGAGTACAACAGTCAAAGCAGGAAATATTGTGGTTCTTACTGGATTAAAGGTACACTTCCCTAGTCTTTGTTATTATACTGCTTTGTTATAGTTCAGGTAATGAAATGTGACTCTTTGGATTTACAGCTGGAACCCTGGTTTTGTCTTTTATCCATTCCAGAAGGGAATGGCTTCACTTTGAAATCCCCATAAGCATTAGGACAGAACATTAGCATCAGCTGGTCTTTCATAGGCTTGGCCTGCATTGGCCTTTTTCTCTGTTAATGAAGGTCCTCTTTGGGCATTTCTCAAAAAGAAGGCCTGTTTCGTCACAATTGAACACTTGTTCAGGTTTCAGTCTTCAGCCTTATGCACTCCTTGAAATTTCATGGCACTATTTTTTTTTCAGCCGCTTGGTGGTCCGAACTGCAGCCTCACCATTGCCTTACACCTGTGTATGCCAGTACTCGGTTCTTAAATCTCTCAAACAGCTTTGCTGGCCTTAAAGTCACTCACTTCACTAGTTTGCGGCATTTCTTTACCAAATCGTCATGCAAACTGCCTAGCCTTTTCACAATTAATCGAAGCATAGAGTAGCTCCTGCTAATTGTTTCTCATTTATCCACACCAATTAATAACTTCTCACCTTCTTGAGTACTGGGATCTAATTTTTGTCAGCATAGTTACCCCTTTGCAACAACAGCTTCGATGATTTCCTTTTCTTGGCCACTATAGGAACCTAAGGTTGTGTAGGGTTTCTTATTACATCCTGGCCAGTTCGGCCACACTTGTTTACTACGTTCATATTGTTCAGTGATGGTTTTCTTAAATTCAATCGTATTTTTCTCACCTCTTTAGGCAACAGGCTTGACACTAGGAGCTTTCTTTTGGAGACATGGTAGCTTATTGTAGTACTTGCAAGCACTAAAATAAATGGAATATTATGAAATACGTATTTTGCTGGAGCACGTGAGGGGACCTTCGCTCACTGGTAAACAATGCCAGACTGGCTGCCGCCACGGTCACGCGTGGGTGTGCATCCCTGGAGGAACTTACGACTCGCGGGTCAACCTATGAAAAGCGAGCCCATGTTTATACGAAAATATCCCTATGATTGCCGAAATTTACGATTGCCGAGAGCTACGAAAAGCGAGGGACCACTGTATACGATATTTAATGAGACTTGGTGATTATTTATCATATTACTATATGACGTCTCTGAGATATAAGACACTCTTACCGATTTTAATGTGTACCTGCATGCCTGCACAGTATGTAAATTTCTTTAGGTACAGGTATACATAAGTATAATTATCAGAGTATATATAAAATATGAAATAACTTTTAAAAACACTTGAAATTTTGGAGTTTCCAGAGATAATGGAGGGGCTTATTGCTTACGGAACGTACGGAGAATGTAACAAAACCAGTGGGCACGGTGAGCGTATAGAAGTCAGGTGGGGGGAGCCGTATAGAGAGTTTTGGTCATAATTTGAAATGACCGTATTAGCGGAACGCCGTAAAGTGAAATGCCGTAAAGAGGAGCCCTACTGTACTTGCCTCTGTATTTGACTGAAGAAACCAACTGCATAGGTGATACATTTGAATAATAAAAATGACCAAGTGTTGCATATGTATCTTAAGATACATATGCATATTAAGATACATATTAGACACGTGTTTCAAATTTATAAATCATAAACATGTGTCAACATGTGCAGAGACTATGGCAGCAAGTATGAGGTTCATACTTTGAATAAAGATGGTGATGACAGTTTGTGGGACCCATCCTTCTTGGCAAGATGTGAACTGACAGACCAGCTAGCTGATCTTGACAACAAGCTGGCAGAGTATGTGTTAGAAAAGGAGTCAATAGAGAATGTACCTCCACCAATACTTGAAGAAGCAATAAGAAGAGTCACAATAAACCAGGTAAATTGTTTTAATATAAAGTGTTATCATAGGGTGTGTAAAGGAAGAAAGTTTAAAGTAAACAAAGATAAGAGTAAGGTGATGAAGGTATCAAATGAGTTAGGTAAAGAAAACTTGGATATCACATTGGAGGGAGGGAGTTTGGAAGAAGTGAATGTGTTTAGATATTTGGAAGTAGACATGTCAGCGGATGGATTTATGAAGGACGAGGTAAACCGAAGAATTGATGAAGGAAAAATAAAGGGTGGGTGGACGTGGGGGTGCTGCATTTAGAAAGTGGGAGCAGACATCATGAGGTAGCAGTGGCAGACAACATGAAGCAGCAGTGACAGACATCATGAAGTAGCAGTGGCAGACATCATGAGGTAGCAGTGGCAGACAACGTGAAGCAGCAGTGGCAAGGTGTAGCATTAAGAGTGTAGCAATTAAGTGTAGCATTAAGAATGTAACAATTAAGTGTAGCACTTATAAGTCACTCTGACTTTTTTGGGTTATCCTAGGTTTTCTACACATGTAATCAAGAGTAGGAATGGTCTCTGTGGTGGCCCTATAAACCCCAACAGCAACAACGGCCGCTGTGACCTCCACTAGCCACATACGTATTTTATTCATTCTAGTGTTTTTATGTTGTTAATATTCTTTTTTATGTCTTATTACATGAATTATGATAGTTAAATAAGCGGTAGAGTTGATATTAGGGAAATTATTGAAGCATTTTCTCATGCATGGAATTTCACTGGAATTAATTAATTCCATTTCAGTTAATTTAAATGAGGAAAATTGACTCTGCAAATGAGCAAATCCAGATGTGAGCAAGGTCATGGAATGGATTAACCCGTAAACGGTCCAAACGTATATATACGTTCACTACCGTACTACCCCAACTTTTTTGAGAAAAAAAACATTGTTGTTATTTAATAGGAGAAAAGAGCATATTGTACCCAGGCATCCCCAATTATTTTAATATGGCACACAGTGAGTGCTCACACCCATTCTCTCATGTCTAAGTGACTCAGGCTTATCACAGCAATGTTAAATGTATGACACAAAACGTATATATACATTTGGGGCACTAGCGGTAAAAACGTATATATATGGACCCCGCATAGCGACCTTAATCCGTGCAAGAGGGCTGGCTGTTATGCGAAATGTTCGGTATGCGAATGAATTTTCCCCATAAGAAATAATGGAAATCAAATTAATCCGTGCAAGACACCCAAAAGTATGAAAAAAAAAATTTTTACCACATGAAATGTTAATTTTAATACACACAAACTGAAAAAGGCAGGCACAATTACATGCACTTACTTTTATTGAAGATCGGTGCTGATGGATGGATGGGAGGAGGGGAGAGAGAGTGTAGTATTTGAAGGGAATCCCCTTCCATTAAGACTTGAGGTGTCGAGTCTTTTCTGGGGTTTACTTCTTTCTTCTTTTAATTGGCATAGGCAGCTCAAGTCACTGGACTTCTTTCGCCAACCATAATCTGTCCATAGTGCCGTACCTCTCGTTCCTTTATGACTTCCTATAGTGTTTCACAAACATTGTAGTGTAATAGTCACAGACGGCTGGCGATTGCTGTGTGAGGTGATTTTCATCCATGAAGGTTTGCACTTCAAGCACTTTGCACAGATTTCCTTATCTTGATTAGCAATATCTTCAATTTCTCTCTCCCTCCTTGAACCAGTTTCCTCGGTCTGGCCTCTAGCTGTTGAAGTTTGATCTATAGTCAGCAGTGGTTAGTTCTTCATTGTCCTCATCCACCAACTCTTCCACATCATCCCACAAACTCCAACCCTAAGGATTTCACAATGCCACAAATGGATTCTCAACTGGCCATAATCTCTCAGGGTTAGCCTCAATCCAAAAAACCTTCAAAAATCCTTTTGTCTACACATTTGGCCACAGATTTTGCTTCCAAGCAGAGTTCAAGGTCTTCTTAGTCACTCCCCCCACGCTTTACCTATAAGGTTATACATTGAGGATATTAAAGTGATCTCTCCAAAAGTCTCTTAGGTCAGTTGTGGTTTTCTGAGGTCACTAACAAAGCACCTTTCAAACAGAGCTTTGTGTACAGTTTTTTTGAAGTTTGCGATAACCTGCTGTCCTGGGCTGCAGGAGAGGAAGTGGTATTAGGAGGCAAAACTTTCACCTTATGAATTTCATGTACCATTAAGTCGCTCTGCCACGTCTGTAGGGATGACCAGGGCGGCATTGTCTACTACCAGGTGGCACTTAAGTTCTAATTTCTTTTCAGTTAGGTAATCTTTCACATTTGGGGAAAGCATGGTGTATACCAGTCATAGAAAAAAGTCCCCCCTAGTGACCCCATTGCCTATGTTTGCCCTCCACAGCACACACAAAATTCTCTTGAGGAACATTCTTTTGCCTGAACGCTCGGGAAGTTTTCAGAGGATACACTAATAAAGGCGGCTTTCACTTTGCAAGTCACAGGCGTTGGAACACATTCAACATGAGTAAGCCTGTCATCATAGGCTTATGTCTTGGGAGTGCCTTTTCTCCTGGAGTAATGTAGTTCCTGCCTTGGCATTTTCTTCCAAAACAGCCTGTTTCATCACATTAACACACTTGTTCAGGTTTCAGTCCTTCACTGTCTATGTACTCCTTGAATTCCTGCACATATTTTTCAGTGCTTTGTGGTTCGAACTGGGCTGCCTCACCATTTGCTTATCACACTATGTATGCCACTACGCTTCTTAAATCTCATCAAGACCAACCTTTGCGGCCTTAAATTCATACATCATCACTAGTTGCAGGCATTTTTTTAATAATTCCTCATGCACTTCCTAGCCTTTTCGCTTATGATCGCTTGAGAAACTCTATCTCCTGACTAGCTGTTTTTCATTTATCCACACCAATAAGGGAGTCTCTCAAATCTTCCATCACTTGCGATCTTGTTTCGAAACACAGTTAAACCTTTGCCAGAAAAGTTCCTTGTTGGCCTTTCTGTTGCCCCACAATAGTAGAATGGTGATTTGGGTGTCTTGTACCAACCAGGACCAGGTCAGCGGAACGCACTCCACTTTCAAAATTTTCATGATCTCTTTCGTCATCTCTATTGGAATTCTCACCCTTATTGCTGTAGGGTTGGAACTAGAAGTCTTTCTTGGGGCCCATGGTCACTTATTTTCCAGATAAAGCACGAAAAACACTGTAATAATACGAAATATTTCGATTGTTGTATGCTTGGATGTTTACGCGTGGCTGGTGGTAAAACATGGCCGCCGGCGGAACATATGAGGCTTGGCTCAGGCGCACATTGGACGGTCTCGGACGATGGGCGGTGAGCGGTTTTTTGGGCGGTATGCGAGGCAAAATTTTAGCGATCAAAGCGTCCGGTATGCGGATTGTATGGTATGCAATGCGTACGGTATGCGGGGGTCCACTGTATACGTTTGGACTGTTTACGGGTTAAACTCGTAAGTAGAGGTTCCACTGTACAGTGGACCCCCGGTTAACGATATTTTTCCATTTCCAGAAGTATGTTCAGGTGCTAGTATGACCGAATTTGTTCCATAAGGAATATTGTGAAGTAGATTAGTCCATTTCAGACCCCCAAACATACACGTACAAACGCACTTACGTAAATACACTTACATAATTGGTCGCATTGGGAGGTGATCGTTAAGCGGGGGTCCACTGTATAGTGGTACCAACACTTATATGGGTGTGAAGCAGGAGTTGTAAAATGCTGCGCGAGAGGAGGCTGAATTAGTGTAGGAATTACGAGTAGCAAGAAGAAGCTGGAGGCAGTAGAGTAGTCATGTTTAACGTAAAACGGGTCCAACGTATATATATACGTTTTTTCAAACATTTGAAAGGACTGTATGTAAAAAAAAGTAGATTTTTTTTTTTTCTTACATTTGAAAAACGTGTAATAAAACGTTGATCTACTTTTTTTTTTCTATATTTGAAATATGTAAAAAAAACGTAGAGCTCTTTTGGAGCACTACGCATATGATGTAGATCGGCTTGGACCATGTACGGGGTTTTAAGGGCTGGTGTGGTATTGCAAATATATTATGAGAGAATTTGTATTGTGGAAAATTAGGAGGAGGGTGTGGTTCTAAAGTTATTTTATTTTTTTTATTATCACATGGCCGATTCCCACAAGGCAGGGTGCCCGAAAAAGAAAAACTTTTCACCATCATTCACTCCATCACGTCTTGCAGAAGGGTGCTTTACACTACAGTTTTTAAACTGCACATTAACACCCTCCTTCAGAGTGCAGGCACGTACTTCCCATCTCAGGACTCAAGTCCGGCCTGACGGTTTCCCTGAACCCCCTTCATAAATGTTACTCTTGCTTCCACTCCAATCAGCACGTCATGTATTTAAAACAGTTGTCTCAATTACTCCTATCAACACGCTCAAGCATGCCTGCTGGAAGTCCTAGCCCCTCGCTACACAAACCTCCTTTTACCCCCTCCCTCCAACCTTTCCTAGGCCTGACCCCTACCCCGCCTTTCGTCCACTTCAGACACTGATACACTCTTGAAGTTATTTCTGTTTCGCTCCATTTCTCTCCACATCGTCGAACCACCTCAACAACCCTCCTCAGCCTCGGGGACAACAGTTTTGGTAATCCCGCACCTACTCCTAACTTCAAACGACCGGAATTCTCTGCATTTATTCACACCACACATTGCCCTCAGACATGACATCTCCAATGCCTCCAGCCTTCTCCTCGCTGCATCATCATCACCCATGCTTCAACACCCATATAAGAGCGTGGTAAAACTATATATCTTACCATTCCCCTCTTTGGCCTCCAAGGACAACGTTCCTTGTCTCCAAAGACTCCTAAGTGCACACTCACTCTTTTTCCCTAATCAATTCTATGATTCACTATCTTTCATAGACCCATCCGCTGACACGTCCACTCCCTATTCATCGAAATACATTCACCTCCTTCCTTACTCTCTCCTCTAATCTGATATTCAGCGGTCATCACCTAAATCTTGGTGGTATCCTCATAA